GGTATCCCATGGCATGGGTGGGAGTGTGGCAGCACTCGTTGTCGGGGGTTAACCCATCTTCACGGCCCAGATTCCACACGCGGAAATGCATATCGGCTGCCGTCCTCCTTTACCCCAATCCACCGCGCCATCCGGTCTCATCATCCCCGACTTCAAACCCCTGGTGAATCAAAAAAGGAGACTTGAGCAAAAGAACATACAACACCGAGGATTCGCTGGTCGTCACCGACCCAACTACTAGTTCGGCTCTCACAAGTTTATTGAGGGGAGAGCGGACGGGATCCCGAGTTCTCTTGTGGATATGGTCGTATGTGAGGTGAGGTTCACACAAATGGCGCACATGAAAGGGAGATTTGGTGCCCCACTCAAAAATACAACGACAAAAATGCATACATACAACACCGAGGATTCCCCAGTCGTCACCGACCTGAGTACTAGTTCAGCGGTCGCCAGGTTAACTAGGGGAGAGCGGACGGGATCCCGTGTTTTCTGGCGCCTATGGTCGTATGTGACAGCTACAGTTCTATCTGGGGTTTATGAAGAGGTCCCTATCACAGTTACGAAGCACAGGAGTGACCGTGCCCGCTGCGCGCGGGCACACCAACGGAGCCTGGAGGAACTTGCCGGCTGCAGGTAGGCCCCATAGCGGAGGGAACGATGTAATTGTTAAAGGCGGAAGAAGAAGCCACCTTGACTGCAATGGAATTATAAACAGTATCAGGAGATAATTGTAGTTTAGGTCAGAAAATCGGGATGGAAAGAACGTATTGAGTTCCTTGGATTGGGAAAATGGAGCACCGCGGTGTAAAAAAGGTGGCGGCTTGACCTCATCGCCGATGTATGACGCCGGGTTCTTGAGTCTCCAGTAAGCTATATCGTCATCGAGGGGCTTCAGTAATCAGATCCCGTAAAGATTAACCTCTGTGGCGTAATCTCACAGAGCTGATAGGTTCCGTGTATTTTGTGCGTCAAAGAAGCAATTTGCTTCGCTACCCTTCGTCACGTAGACGACCATCGAGCCGTCGGCCTTGCTTGTATCCTTCCTGCTGAGCCAGGCAATCTTGGCAATGTTGACGTTGTTCTCTGTAGTCGTGGTTCCAGGAATGGGACGTCATGGCCGAATCAGCGCAGACTGAAGCTGCTGACGAAGAAGCGGGTGCGTCGCTCTAGTAGTAGTAAAAAATCTCATCTTTCGACACTTTTTGACAGAAATCCGACTTATCGCTTTGTATGTTCTTCTTGGTTCGTGTTCGTGATTGTCAAGGAATGCGCGACAGAGGCATGCAAAAGCAGGAGCGAAGCAGCGAGTCACAGGGGCCCTGATGCCGTAAGCGGCTTTCTTCTTGCGATTTGATTGGCCAGAACAAAGCAACAACGGTCCGTGCACCTCCACCGCCAAGACCAACTGCGAGATGCCAATTCGAGGAAGCAAAATGCAGATGACGCCAGACTTCGAGATGCTATGGAGAGAAGTCGAAAGGAGAAAAAAGCCAAAATTCTACAGTGAGAAGTGAGAAGTCGACAGTACAGGTTAGAATGACACCGTTTTTTGAGTTTTTTATGGAGTAAAAACTGGTCCGTGCTTATAGCAGGCCATGGCATTTCTGACCTAAGGAACCTGGAGTTCCTCCAGGCACCATTGGTGTACTACCAATCCTAAGCGCGACACCGTTCCGCATTCCAGGATATGTATCCCCCAAGACAATGGCAGAACTTTATATTCATTGATTAAGGTATCCCATGGCATGGGTGGGAGTGTGGCAGCACTCGTTGTCGGGGTTACTACTGGAGGAAAGGGTCGACGTGGCGTGGCTCACTCGCCGTGGCGTGGCTCGATCGCCAACTTGTGACGGATCGGAACGCATCAATGCTAGGGGATTGGCGGCCATGAAAGCCCCAGTAAAGGGTTGGAAAAGCCGGCAAAGGAAATAGCCAAAAGGCAGCATGGGTCAAATGTGCCCAACGAGGCAATTGGTATATGGCTAATATGTGGAGCCCACCGAGACAATTCCTATTATGGAAACCGACGTGGAGCGCATCAAGGCTAACCGGTGAGGGCAACAGGATGGTAAATGAGAAGCGGGGACGTTTCACGGCTGGTACACCTACGGGGAGGTTAAGTTAGATGCACGGCTTCTTTTTCCAGTGTCCTGGAATACTCCTACGCTGCAAGGTTGAATAGATGGAGCGCGTTTTGGACCAGTCGCGTGGAATTCGTCCTTGGTTTGCAAGGGGAAATCAAGGATTAGAGCGCCGTTTTGCTGTGACTTCCGAGGTTGTATTCATGCTCGGCTTGACCATGAAACCGCAGGAGTAGTATCTTTCAACGGGTATCCTTTCGTTAATGGTAGCTTGTATTTTGAATCTCCACCAGAGCTTCTTGTCGGTGTTGTTGGTATCTTTAAACGGGTATCTTCGGAATGCCTTCATGTATTTCCACCCTCCAGCCCAGGGCGGAAGGCTTCTTGTCGGTCTTTGTAGGAATAGTAAAAGTTGTTCATGATGCCCCACACGGAAAGCCGACCACCAGCCGCAAGGGCGTATGGCGGCTGAACCATAGCCTCCATAGAACAGGTATTAATAGTTAATATACCTCTTTCTTGAAACATGACCACCATCCCCACCATTACTATAAATACCGCCCGCTATTACCTCCCAACGCCCAGGTTTTAAGTTTCCTTTCTGTCCAAACTATTTCTCCACAATCTCTTTGTATCCTGATACCGCCCGCACCCGCTCCCAACGCTAATATGTTCTGGCAAACTTTTATCCAAAATCTTTTTTATCTCTTCCTTACTTCTGCTCTTTTGTGGCAATTCTTACGTTTGTCTGTTGGAAACCCTCCATACTTTCTGTTCATTTGCGGCAAGACGAACGTCCGTAGAAGACAGCGGTGGAGACGGCGCCGACAAGCGCGTTTAAGACGGGGGTGGGGACATGGCGGACTAACACGTTTTCGTCACGCCTGAGCATTTTTTCACCCAGCCTTTTTCTCCGGGTGAGACAACCATAGCGTTCGGAAACTTTCCCTGGGTCAGTCTCTCTTAGGGAATAGTCACTAGTTATTAAGATTGCCCTGGTTATTGGCATAAATCCCATCTTCTCGAGCTTTACGAAGTCCCGTTCCTCAGAGTGAAGCTCTGCACCAAGACCGACAGTGTTCTATCCCAGTATGTGTGTATATCACAAACCTGGTAACTACCTATCTTGGTAGATACTTACTCGAGCTGTGTTATCTGTAAGGTGACCAAATACATATCATCTTGGTCTCCCAAATCAATACTTTCGTTGAAAGCAAGAAACATCAGGAACTACTAATCGTCATATTTCAATGCATACATGCAAGTACTTGTGTACGGTATCTAACACGCCGTGTCCTGCGAAAAGAATGTCAAAATGACTTGATTATAATGTATAAGTGCTACAAAATGCATTGGATACCAAAAATCCAGCCCGTCACCCACATGATCCACCCACAAATCTATTTATGAGCCACCATATCCCCAAACGCCTTAAACATGCATGGGTGCGGTGTTTACCAGTGAGGAGTGTTAACAGCCAGGGCCATGAGGCAGCCGCCAATGAGACCGGCAATGGGGATGGTCATGACCCAGGAGAAGAAGAGGAGGCCGACACGTTTCCAGTTGACGGCCTTGAAGGTGCCGTTGCAGAGGCCGACGCCGACGGTGGCGCCCGTGATGCACATGGAGGTCGACACGGGGAGCGCGTACTGCGAGAAGATGAGGATGGTGATGGCGGCGCCCAGCTCCATGGACGAGCCACGGCTTGGCGAGTGGTAGGTGAGCTTGTTGCCCATGACTGTGTTCAGGCCATGTTAGTAACCGTTGTCTGTGTCTAGGCTACTAAGAGCAGGAACTGGTGGACTTACCCCTCAAAATGTTGTAACCATACGTAATAAAACCAATGCAGATCATCGCGGCGGTGATACCCAGCTGCCACATGGGGACGTCCGCCTTGGAGGCGCTAGGCTTACCCGTGGACCAAGCGGCGTACATACCGGCCCAGACACCAATTGCGTTCCCGACTTCGGTCTCCCAAATCAATACTTTCGAAGAAAGCAGGAAACAGGCGGTGATGACCTGGACGTACGAGTAGAGATGCTCGACCTCGTTGGGGTACTTAGGTGCGTGGCTGTAGACGCGCTCCATGCGGCGGCCCTCGGGCGAGTTGTGGATGCCGACCTGGGCGGTGTGGATGTCGTAGTGCATGCCGTAGAACAGGGCGACGACGATCTGGGCCGGGACGCGCTTGACGAGGGCGATCAGGTTGTGGGTCTCGTGGATGGAGCCGGCACCGAGCTGATTCTTGTGGAGCGTGCGCATGGCCCAGCCGAGGGGGCCGCGGCTCTTGCGCAGGTTGGCGTTGTGGCGCTCTTCGGCATCCTTGAGCAGCTGCTGGTATTGCTCGTAGGTGTATTCGATGGAGGGAGCGGCGGCCTTCTCGCTATCCGAGCCGGCCGAAGAGACGGCGGGGACGGCCTTGATGTCGTCGGCATGGCCCTTCTTCTCGGCGCGGTCCGAGTCGGAATCGTTGGACTCCTGAATGACGGCGTAATTGGGAACCTTGGCCTCGACCATATCGGCGTCGGCCGGGGGGGGACGCTTGAAGAGAAGAGGACCCTGGACGATCATCCACAGCTTCAGGGTGTAGTCCTTCTTGACGACCTTGGCGTGGACGAAGGGTACGAAGAACAGGGCAGCCAGGAAGAAGAGGCCGAAGCCGACGCCAAGCGAAACCGAGGCAATGTACCACGCGGGCTTCTTGTCAAGACCCAGGTTGGGCGAGCCCTTGTAGACGATGGAGAGTGTGCAGACGGTGCCGGCGATGAGGAAAAAGAGGGGCGAGCTGTAGACGGCCCACGGCACAGGGTTCCGGCGCATGTGGACCAGGAGCTTGATGAGCATGAAGATGATACCACCGAAGCAAGCGGAAATGAAGGGAGCCATGCAGAGGCCGGCAAAAATGGCACCGAGGCCGGTGCCCTTAGCCCAACCCCATTGTACGTTGCTGGCGCCAACGGCAGCGACGCCAACACCGGCGATGGAAGAAACGAGCGAGTAGGTCGAGGAAACGTGGGCCGAGTTACGCGTGCACCACATGACCCAGGTGGCGGCACCGGCAGAGGAGCAGGCAAAGGCGAGCAGCTGAACGCCAGCGTTATCGCCAAAGGCCTCGCTGGGAATGATGCCGTTCTTGATGGTTGAGGCGGTTCTTGCGCCGACGGCCAGAGCGCCGGTCAACTCGAAAATAACACAGAGGATCATGGCCTGTCTGTAAGTCACGGACCGTGACGAGACACTAGTGGCCCACGCGTTGGCAACATCGTCTAGAGTAGATGG